AACACACAAAACGATAAAGGTTAAAAATTATTTCTTTTTTATTTCAGAAATTCCTATTAGTGTAACTCCTGCAGTTTGGAAGGACACTAAGCCGATGCATGGACAATTGCATTTATCACCCTGAAAATCAAAGGCCAGATAGTATTATAACATCCTATTATTCTTACTCGGTAGATGACGATGACTCTGTATAAGATCCTAGCTACAAGTGAAGTTCTTCCAGCAGATCCTCTAGCATCTCATCGAGTTCGTCTAAATCAACAGATTTTTCTGGTCAAATAGAAAGCATTAATAATCATACGGTATTAAAACAGCAATCAATCCAACAAGCTGCAAATAAAAATAACGATAAAGAAAGTGAAGAAATTAAACAGAAGGACATTGAAAATTTACCAGAAAATAAGAGAATATAATTGAATATAGTATTAATTTGACTAAAGAAGACAACAGAATTTTATAGAAAGGGAGAAAACGTCTTGCAAGAGTCCATAAGTGGCTGACTAACAGAGCAAAAAAATTGCGCAATACTGGTCAATCTTATGTTTCTAGATTAAAAACAAAAAAAGACTCTAGCACCCTGTGGTGATAAATGCAAAATAAAAGTTCTTCTAAGGTAAACGAAGACACTAAAAAAAATATTCGCTAAATATTGGGAATTATGTAATATTTTTACCAAAGCTATTGTCACTACATTTCGTTTCTCTGGCAAAGAAAAACCTCGGAATTTTGATAATGCATTCTTTTTCAATGTTAATAGCGTTGACATACGTGAATGCAAGATTTTTTTATGGCTACATTGGATGTGAGTGATGGCGTTATAAGGACAGTGTTTAATGAGAGGGACCTAGGTTTTGTTGATTTGGACAAAAGAGGAAAACATCGAAAAATAGATGAGACGATAAAAAAATTAATTAGCAACCATTTCTATACCTATAGAAAGTCACTGTATTAGGAAACATTCTAGCCGACAATTCATCGATGGTCGTAAATTTATGGCAGTGTATAGAGAAAGGATTTAGACAGTACACTATAAGATGTACTTTAATATTTTCAATGAGGAGTTTAATATAAGTTCCTTTATTCCTAGAAAAAATCGTTTGTAGTTAAGTGTCAGTTATGAAAATGTAGATGCCGGAAAAGAGAATATACGTGAAAATTATACGCCACACTTAGAGAAAAAACATCGCTCTGGACTTAAAAAAAAAAAATGATAAAACCAAAGTGGGTACTGACTATACTCTGGCCGTTTATGATCTTTAGACTGTCCTTGAAACTCCAAAAGAAGATGTTTTAATATTTTATTACAAATCAAAACTTAATACCTTAAATTTAACTATAACTGAACTTCGATTTGAGGAGCTGATGAGATTGGCTCTTGCGTAATAATTTTTATTGACAAAAAGTTACAGACTACAATGGTTCAGGTAATGAATTCGTATTTTTGTCAAACAATTGCCGCGGACAGCATAAAAATCGAGTTTTTTTTCCATGTATATGTTTGTATTAATGAATTACCCAAAAATTAAATCAATAACTCATAAATACCTCATCAAAAGTCATACTCAAAACGAGGGAAATGATGTACAGTCTACAATCGAAAATGCTATCAAAAAGGACCTCAGATCAGGTCCCATCTATGTTCCAAGCCAATATGCATTGATAATACGAAGTGCCAAAAAAAGGGGTAAACCATTTAATGAAAATGAAATGACTTTCAATAATTTATTTAAAAAATCTGAATACAAATGGAGGTTAGAGGGGGGTAAAATAATAACTGCAAAACGTACAATAATATCAACTAGAAATTTTTGGAGAAAATCAAGTGAAAAAGCCTATTGATTTTAAAACAGACTAAACAAATTGGGGGGCAAGGGGTTTAAAATAAAAAAAAAATCAAAAATTCAAAAGCGAAATCCCCATGAAATAATGAAAAAGAATTTGGAAACAAAAAAAATATGATTCAAAATGACGGTCAAGGAGGTTTGTTAAACTATGAAGAGTTTAATGTAAAATGCCAGGAAATATATGTCTTCATTCTAGTTTTGTGGTATATTGTATTTAAATATTTTGTGCTGCTTAAGAATAAAAAAAGACCAAAAACAGTATAATTACTAGATTTCAAGTTAAAGCAATTTTTTTTATAATTCAACCTGTCCTTCTTTGGTATAAATTTTTAATAATAATGTTTATTATTGATTTTAAAACAAAAAAGGTTATTTTCATTTGTTTTCCTTTTGCAACTGGTGATATAATGAATTTTGCGAAACCAATTTCCTAATGTTGAACAATATGTAAATGGTTGCGTAAAGTAGATTATTTTGACACTTGCTGTCACAATAAAAATCTCACTATATATGTCAAAATTGGAAAAAAATTATTATGGAAAAAAAGAAACTAAACAGTCAGAATCACTTACATCTAGTATGGCAGAGAAAGTAATAGGTAATTGATTTCGGCTGTAGTTGCTTATAAACACAAACTTTACCTTCGTTATTAATAGCTTTATTGATTCCAGAAAACTCAATGAGATTCGTACGAAAACTAATTTTGGTGTGCCTAATATATTCTGGTGAAAACGAGTTTCTACAATGATCCTTTTTTTGTTCTTTGTCAACATTTGCATCTGGTGTGAGTAATCTCTGGTAGAGTTTCAGTTCATTTAATTAGTTAGGTGGTTGATTTATTAAAATATATCAAGAATTATTTGTCATTCGACGCGTGCCCCATAGAACATGTAGTGCCGCTACTGAAAACGAGGGAAAGAGAAAGGGAGTACGGTAAGTAGATGGTCATAATTCATCGTTAAAAAGGGTCGAGCTCTGTGGAGTGGTCCAGATTGTATTCCAGCAAATTACAATATAATCAAATTAACTTTTAGCGTTGGTACTAATTTACAAGAGTTGTAATTTTATTTATCCTTAACGTGTGAACTGGAGGTGAGAATCGCGTATAATTTCCCTCAAGATCACTTAACATAAAATTACACTTTCCACGGTTTCCACTGAGTGTGCCGCAGATGAAAGTTCTTGATAGTTGTTTTTACGTGGTCCGGGATGCGGTAATAAGACAAGGAAAGCTTCTTTTAAAATTGGATTTACTCAAAAAATTATTATTTAGTTCAGTTTCATCGCGCAAGTTTGCGACTTGATGTTTCAGCGGAAATAAAAAATTACGATTACTACGGTTGTTGTACAAGTAACTACATTAAAAGCTTAGAAAAATAACAAATAAATAAACCATTAAAATGTTATACAGGTTAGGAAAAAAGTATACGAGCCATACGATGTAGGTATGCACATCTATATTAATTGTGGACTACATTATGCTAATATTCGTAACACGTCAGAGAGCGCCGTTATTAGTGTGGTCAAAATGTGCATACAATATTACATTTAATTTTTTAATTTATTTTGCATTTACTGCTAGGCTCCTGCTGATTCAAGTAAGCCATTTGGTTTAAAAATATTTATTTATAATGCCTCTTTTGGTTTATACCAGAATTTTTCAACCTTTCAGTATTCGGGCCCAATTTATAATAACAATTTTTATGGTGCCCCCTACCTTTTTTTTTCATATAATAATAAAATACGACATATATTATGCGTTGAAAATTTGGAGCCCAATTCCTTTAGTATAGCGTATTGTTAGTGCCCTAGACTCAAGAGCCCTAATATAGAACTTAATTACAGACCTACAAAATTACCGAGAAAATGTAAATTTATTAAAACTTTTTAATGCCTCTCCACTACATTCCATAAAGAAGAAGCGTAATGCCATAATCAATGTTTTCATCTGGTCTCTGTCATTTGTGAAGGATATCGAACATTCTCGCTGCTTCCTGTCGCTATCAGAAGTTTCGACTGTGGTTTTGATGTGTTTGGAATGGTATAGAAGATGTACTCGACAGCGAAGCAAACGTGTATAAATGCTGCTGCTGTTAGAGGTTCTGGTTAGTTTTGATCGAGTCGCGGTGCCAAATTTTGTAAGTTTTGTGTTACTGTATCATATTTCCGTATAAGATATTAACGTAAATTTTACGGCAATAAATGTATACAGAACCATAGATAGATTTTTAACTGAACGTAAGCGAGTACTGTACCAAATTGAAACATCAAAATATGAACAGTCAACCATGGTTTCGAAAATAAAATCAAGACAATATTCGCAATACACCTTAATTTTGTATTTACCACTATTAAAATAAATGACCTGTGTGCGTCATGTGTTTAAACATTTTGGCAACAGACAGCATGAAACCTAATATACGCCATTCGGAAACACTTTATAGTGAGTATATTAACCAGCCCCGAGAATTCTTTGAATTAAAATTAAAGTCATATAAAGAGCAAACATCATTCTTCAAAAAAACTTCGTCTGTGAACGATAAAGCTTTACTTGCGTCTTACAAAATATTATATACTCGTAAAATAGCCCCCTATGTAAAAAGGCTCACACCATTGGTGGAAACCTTATTCTGCCAGCTGCAATGGAGATTGTAGAAACTATGTTTGGAGATCATTTTGCCAAACAATTGCAATCCATACCTCTTTTAAATGATCTATTGCTCGCCAAATTGGTGATATAGCCGAAGGTGTATAGCATCAGCTTCTTGAAAAGTTGCGTGACAAATTGTTGTCGATTCAGCTTGACGGGGCAACATATAGCAATAAAGACGCTCATTTAATTGTTAATGTCCGATTTTGTGATGGTATATCGGCATTAGCAGAACCACTTTTTTGCAAACCTTTAGAACTCAAAGCAACAGCACTATCTTTGTTTGATATTTTAAATGATTTTATTATAAAGGCAAACTTAAAGTGAATGGTTCTCGTACAATGTTTGAATGATTTTAAAGTGTACAAGCATTTATGAAACAAAAATATCCGCAATGTGTCCGAACCCATTGCATGATCCACATAGAGGTTCCGGTTTCCAAAGAAATAAATTCTAGCCTCAACGTTGTACTAACAACCATTGTAATTGTAGTAAATTATAAAAAAATGAGACTCCTCAAATCAAGAATCCTAATTGTGCTTTGCAAAAATATGGGTGCACAACATTCGACATCACTATTTTATTGCGAGGCAAGATCTGTCGCAAAAACAAAGATTCAAGTAACTCGACTTACTTGATTCGTTCTTTTTATCCATATTTGGGCTTCTCTTTTGATACTTTATGTCTCCACCAATCCTGGTAATTAAAAAGTGTTACATTACCAAGTTATTTACAACTATATTTTAGCATCTCTACTTCTCGTCGAAAAATATTTTAGTAAATCTTCTTACTTACAAATTATTGTAATATCTTCTTATTTACGAGTATAGTTTTATTTTGTATAAATAAATTTACTCGAGTTTCTTGAGAAGATTTGACCTAGTGCAATTTAAGAAACAAGTAAGTCAATTTACTTTATGGTACGTACCATAAAATACAAACAAAGAATCAATCAACTTTACTTACACTTGTTAAAACGATAGTAGAGATATATCTAACTCAACTTCTTTTAAAATATTACCAAAAAATGGGGTGGGGTAACAAACCGCTTTACGCTACTTTATGCAAGTTTGGATAAATGATTCAGTATTCAATATTTGTCAATAAAATAAAATATGTCTAGTTGAGGAAGAAAACTGTTTGAACTGTTAGCAAAACCACACAATAGTAAACACCGACGGCATTGGAATAACTCCTTTAGAAGAGATACCCCCAAAACAGATCGTGGTCCAAATGGATGACTGCAGCCAAAAATAAAACCCAGATTTCAATGATACTAATGAAAATAACTAGACTGAACATAAAAAATTTGAAAAAGCTAAGAAAACCAAAAAATGTTATGTACGTCAACTAGTTGATATATGCAAAAGGAGTTGCAAGCAGAAATAATGTCGTGAATGATTTAATGATAAGAAAAATAATTTTTATGAATTATAACGATTTAAATTTCAAAGAAAAAAGATTGTTTTTTGGATAAATATTTCGTCAAAAAAGAAATTAAATATAGAAAAGTCGATGCAAATGTACCCAGAAAGTTTTCGATGGTATATAACTTACCAAATGGTAAAATAGAATGGCAGCCAGAAAATATATTGTCAGATTCGCAAACGAAAACCAGAAATACGATGGTAGATTTGGTTAACGTAGACACTGTAGAATATGATTCGCAGCAAGTAAACTTATTGTCTACTCCGAAACCAAAACTAGATCTATAAAAATCATGTTCATGAAAATGATATGCCAAAAACATCTATAACTAACCCTAAAAATGTGAAGGTAAAGAAGCAGGACTAGTAGAATTAAATAAAGCAGTATGGGACATTTGCAAGAAATACGACAATAATAAAACTCGATATAGTGTAGCAAGAACACAATACAATGAAGACTCTAAGAAGTACACATTATATTTTCAAATTTACTCTGTTGGCATGTGGAAAATTTTAATATTACTAAAAATTACCATACAAAATTCGTGTTTCTGTCAGCAGATTGGTTGCGTTTCATGAAAAATTTGCCATCTTGCAAGCAGCAAATGAAAATAAATGTGTACTTTGGCATGAGGCCATTAGAGCACGGAATAGGTCAGACGTTGTCTCGGCCTTTTACAGTGTACTAAAAAGATTAAATAACGATACAAATAAGGTAATTTTTTCTATTGACGACTGTACAGCACAAAATAAAAACTGGGCCCTTTTTACAGTTTGTGTCATATTCGTTAACGAAGTGTGGACTAGAAAGTAACACTTTTAACTGTTTTGAGCCTGTACGCAGCTTCATGAAAGTGAATGCGGTTCATGACCTTATAGGAAAAACATGGAGACACACCCCTGAAGTTTTATATTACGATGACTTGCTTCATTTAATTGAAACATCAAATAAGTTTAAGCAAAGTCATTAATTTACTTGCAGAAGAATTCTTAGAATGCGAAAATGGTTGTCAAACTAGAAAAAAGGGATCAAACTTGCCAAAAATTGATACAAAGTGTCTTCAATTTGTAAAGGGCTCTAAAAAACTCTTCTTTAAATCTAATCTACAACAAGAATCGTTTTCTATAGTATATTATTTAAAACCGAAATTAAAATTAGAATCACCAAAAAAAAAGAGGACTGTGTAAGGAGCTTACGCAGTATGTGCCAAAAAGAAAACAAATTTTTTGGAAAAATTCGCCAAGTAGAGATCTTTATGGCTTAGAAATTATTTATGCTGCTCAAATCTAAAAACGCTATGAAGCGGAATTTTTACTATTTGTTTATGAGAAAATTTTTGTTTTTTAAGTTTTAAAAATAATGAAATTACTCTTGTTTTTATGAAAAATATAAGTTTCACTAATTGTTGTTAAATAATATTTTCACAATGAATATTTGATATTTTAGACAATAATTATTTGGTCATTATGAGTTTTTTCCAAAATTATCATTTACTAAAATTACTGACAATTTTTGTAAATAGTATTAGTTGTAATAGTGGTTGCCATCTTGGAATCTTATTTTCACTTATTAAAAATAAAAATTATTTTTTCAGAAAACCAGTTTTACTTTATTTTAATAAACAACTGAAATTGTTATGCCTTTTAAATCTATTTATGTTAGTTTTTTCGTTTCATATATTCTCTTAGTGTAATTATAAATCTATTTGCTTGATTTTTTCAATGTTTTCGGGGTCTTAGTTTATTAAAATATTTATCATGCAGAGTTACTTATTTTTAAGATTGCATATCAGAGCGATTGTTAAATAAAGTAATTCAAAAACTATCAAAAATATAAATAATTAGTAAAATTATTTAACATTTATTCATGCCCTTAAAAAAAGCACAGCAAAATATTTAATTAAAAAAAAAAAAAACACACACGGTGGGTTCAAATCTAAAGAAGTACCTAATCTTAAAAACCATTTTAAAATAAATAAGTTGCTCTACCCAAAACCTCTAAATTTTAAGTTTTTTAGTTTTGAGATGCTTTATTTGTGAAGAAACTAGGTTACTTGGTTGACATTATCGATAAATTAAATACCCTGAATCTACAACTCCAAGGAGCAGCCACACATATGTTGGATACCAGTAATAAAAATGCTTTTTGTAGAAAGGTGGAGCTGTAGAACATAAATGTAAAACAAAAAAAGGAATGTTTGCAAATGTGAATGAATATGTCAAAACATACAAGGAAGACGAACAGTATGCGAAAGTTATTTTTGTAACAATAGAAAATCATTTAGCCATGTTGGCGCATAAATTTAAAAAGTATTTTCTTACTGACGGAAAATTGTTAGCGAGTTACGAGTGGGCTAGAGATCCATTTCAAACTACTCCCGAAGGTATCTTAACTGTAGAAGAAAAAATCTTTATAGACTACTGCAAGCGGCAAAATCAAGAGAGAATTTAGTGGTAAATCTCTATTAGAATTTTGGGCGGGAGTGGATGATGCCTGTTGACGTTGACGTTAACGTTTCTTTCTTTTCTTAAGACCGACCGGAAAATATACACTTTCTAAACGTTTCACCGGTGAAGACCTGAAAGTAGACGTTAGGGATCGTTAAAAGTTTTACCCGTCCCTGTTTTTTATTTTTTCGTTCGCTGTTTAATAATACAGTTTGCCTTGATTTCGTAACTATAGTAACAACTTTCCGATTTATTGCCAACTGACAGTTCACTGATTTTTAATTTGTTTATGTTTATGTCAAACTTTTTTTCGAAAATTTTAAAATATGGATTTAGATTTTGAATTATATGATATAGAAACTAAAATTCCAGAAGAATTTTTGGAACCAGAAAAAAAGGCGACTTAGGATGCCATTGAAATCAAAAGCCCCGTACGTGAAGACATACGACGCATTTAAAAATTGGTGTCGGGAAAAAAATGTAAAATATCTATTTGAAGAAGTCCTTTTATCATATTTTTCTGAAAATGTTTAAGAACTGGCTTTATCATTATTATCGAGCCTATATTCAATAATAAAATCTATGCTGACCTCAATAGATAATAATAATATTAATAATTTTTCAAACTAATAACGATTGTTAAAAAGAAATCTGTTCGTCATAAATCTAAGAAATCTAAGATTCCGTGAGATAACAAATTAGATATATTCTGAACAATGCTCGTTATATCGAATATCTTATGCTTAAGGTAAGTGAAAAAAAAAGAAACGAAGGAAAAAGAGAACACAATAAATCTTATTTCTATTTTAAGTGCTTATAATTATGGATTTCGCAGGTGCATGTCGCCGCAAGGAACTAGTTGATATGACACTTGATGATATCGAGGATAAGAAAACAATGTTGATAGTTAAAATCCCCTTAACCAAAACAAATACCACCAGAACATTTGTTGTAAATTCCCAAAGGGATTTGCAACTAAAGGAATTATTTGCAATTGAGGCCACCGCATACCAACCATAAAGAGCTATTATTTTTTTTTTAAATGGAAAGTGTTTAACCCAATTAGTTGGATTGCAAGCTGTGAAAAAAGACTCCAGCAAAATCGCCTTCTATCTAAAATAAAAAATCCAGGCAAATTCACAGGTCACTGCTTTGGTTGAAGCTCCGCGACTCAGTATATGGAGAAGGTGATATTATAAGTTTAAAACGACACGAATAATGGAAATCCTCTACCGTAGCGAAAGCCTACCTTGAAAATTCAATAAAAAATAAAGTTGTTACCTTTCCTTCGTAAACGCAGTCCGCGTTCAGGTCCAATGGTTGCCACAAAATAAACTTATTAAGGCAACTTTCAACTTATGAAGATCTACAGGTAACTCAACTCAAGCCATGGCTCCAGTTTCGCTCTAAGTGGAGAAGGTGTGTACCGTTTAGATTCACAGTATTCAAATGTGGGCGTCAGACCGATTTAAATGTCAGATAAATATATTTTCTTGTCCCTCACCTAAATCGATCAAACAATAAGAACGACATGAGACAACATAAACTCCTACTTAAACCATTTAATAAGTTAATAAACCTTTTCCAGTAGTGAAGCTGAACAATTTACCCCAGGTTTTATCGTAACAGAGCAACAGTAAGAACTTCTAACATATAATATTATTAATCACTATTTTCCACAAATACGTGATGTTAAAACTTACAAATAATATTCTATATACACAGTTAGTATGTCCCTTGTTCTGGTATAAAGTGATAAGTAAAATATGTAGTTATACTATTGACTACTTCGATTCCTGTGCGGAATTAATTTTGTATAATTAACCATACTTTGGAAATGAGTCTATTATAATTAAAAAATTATTACTTTCCAATGTTATTGCATCTAAATGTAATATTTGAAAAGGTTTAATCGCTTAGAACTAATATTGTAATTAGGTGTAATAGGTTTCCATCATATTTTGTTAGTTGGCATATTTCGCAGCTGTTAATATAAGTTTGAATTAATGCTCTTTGATTGGGCCAATAACATAATGTTTTAATTCTATTTTCTGTTTCATCTATACCTCTATGATTTTGTTTTCCTTCGTGATAATTTTTTATTACATCTTCGACTTCATTTAATGAAACATCAATAAATTTTTTGGAACATTTAATAAATGAAATTTGAGAATTTTTGAAAAATTGTTGTACAACAACGCTAAATTTTTTATATAGGTGATCTTCAAAATAGATATGATATTTTACTTTTTGTACTACGTATTATTTTACAAATTTTATTTTTTTAGAATTGTACAAGAATTCGTTGTTTGTTTTCATTAAGTTTTATATTAGTAGGAGTGGTAGGATCAAAATTGACTTTGGATATTATTATTTGATTTACATTTACCGCGCAATCCACGATAGGTATGTCTGGTATTGGGTTCTCTACATTAGTGTGAATAGTATCATTTTCATCTTCGATGTCATTGTTTATATCATAAGGTTCTACTACAAGAAATTCTGTTTCATTATTTAATTTAGGACATTGAAGTTCATTATTAAAGTTTTCTATACATTCGAAAATTTGTGTAGAATTATTAAGTTTTGAATTAGTTATTGTTTCGTTTACATTAAGTTCTAGATAAAGCATCACTATTTGTATTTAGTGCACCCTTTTTGTAAACTATATCGTAGTCAAACTCTTCAAGTTTTAACCTCCATATCACTAGTTTAGATGGGGTCTTTTACAAAGAAAGGCCATTAAGAAGCTTTTGTGTCGGTTACTATACCAAATTTTCTTCCCAATAGATAGGGCCGAAAATACTTAGCCGACCAAACAATTTCCAAAAGTTTCTTCT